TGAAAGAAAAAGGACAGAAGATCAGAACCTGGATCCCTTTTGGAAGGTTGATCTCAGATCTTCTAACTGAGAATGGATTGGTCACTACTCTGTACGCTGCTGGAGTTACAGAGGAATTGGAATTCATAATGGGAAAGCCTCTGAATGCCAAAAGTCTTCAGAGACTTAAAATAGTGGATGAACTCACAACAGCTCCCAAGAAGCTGAATGTTTCTGAACTGAGTAAGAAGAGGATTCCTGTAGATTATTTTCCATTATTCTTTGCTGAAGAACCAATGCACATTGTTGTGATGTACATTGATGAGTGTAAAAGGAAGGAAAGCCTGTTCCTGCAAACATTGTATAACTAGCAAGACAACCTCTACCTGATGTAGAAGAAGAAGAAGAAGAAGAAGAACTACAAAGAAAGAGGACTCAGCCAGAAGCAGAAGCTGCACCTGCTCAGAAGAAAATAAAGATTGCTGAGAAGCCACAAAAGCTCTTGAAGAGGAAAAAATCTGGAGACACTTCTTCTGTACCAGCCAAAAGGATCAAGATAAAAGGTACTAAATATTCTGTATCTTCTGCAAATACAATTGTTTTAAATGATTCTAATATCAAGTCTATTCCAAAACCACCCTCTACACAAACTACTTCTGTTACTGCTCCAAGTTCTAAATCACCACAAAAACAAACTTTTGTTCCAACACCACCAACAACAAAAACCATTCAAACACCAAAAGTCTCTGTACCACAATTATCTCAACCAAAAATCCAAATCAAACAGTTTGTTCCACAAAAACAATCTTCACAGAAACAACCTTCAGAACAACAACCTACAGAACAACAACCACAACCTTCTGTACAACAAAAATCCTCTGAACCACTTAAACAAAAGCCATCTGAACAACAAAAGCACCCACAAGAAAAACAACCTGAAAAACCACAAGAATCTCTACCAGAAAAAGCCTCTGAAAATCAACCACCATCAAATAATCCACCATCAAAATCATCTGAACCCACTGCATCGGAACCTACAAAAATAACACCTGTTCCAATTTCATCAGAACCAATAACAATTCCATCTGACTCACCCATCTCAGAACAACCATCAAAACCCTTTGAAATTTCTTCAGAACCAACCAACACTTCTGAACCCAACATTCCTGAGACAGAAGTTCTTGATGTCTCACCCTTAAAAACTGTGTTTCAAGTATCTTCTACCTCCTGCACACCAACCACCTCTTCAAACTCCTCAGAATCTGACATCCATCCAGACTTTCTAGTCTCTCCATCTCACAGAAACTTTGAGGTAAACCAACCTGAACCCATTATACCTTCTAAAGCTCCCATTCCAGATCCTATTCCCACACCTGCACCATCATCTGAAATATTGATCCCAAATTCTAACCCAAGATCATCTATTTCTTGTGCCCAAGTCTCATCACTATTTCACAATTTGGCATATGGTTTCAAACTCAAAGATTTTTATGACAGAGTTGAACCATCTGACCCTATCACCCCTCTGAAACCAAAACTCACAATGACCCTTCCATCTGTGATTCTTGACTATATAAAATCCATGTCAGATGTAGGATCCTTAGCAACTATATCTTGTTCTGCAAAATCTGATAAAGCTGTTGCTTCAGCTATACCAATTTCCTCTGATAACAATGTTGCTTCTGATGAACCCCCCAAATCTGCCTTCCAAACCTACTCAAATAAACCTTTTGATGTAGTTACCCTTCACACCAGAGCAAAACCTCATCTGTTAAATGCCTTAAACAGATTAAAAGAAAAAGCTCCTGAAATTCCCTTCATTCCATATTATCCTCCTCCTCTGATCTCTATTCAGAAATCAATTTTTCCACCAACTCCCCAACCAAAACCTGTAACTCTGGAAACTCTGTTACATCCTAAGCCCATACTTAATGTTAATCATTTATTTCAAACTTTTTTGCAAGAAATACAGTTGTATTTAGGTACTGTACAGAAGAAATGCTCAGCAACAATGAATGCCCAAAAATCTGATATCATCTGGAATGGATTCATCAACAGATTCAACTCTGTGGCCTCAAATCTGAAGAACATATGTTCTGATGATGCGAAGCTCATATTTGCTGAGGCTGCAAGAACTCTATTCTGGACGGTCAAGAAATCTGATCCTCTGCTCCTTGCAGATGCTCCTTCTCCTTCAGCAGAAACTACTGACATTGCATCTGAGGAAAATCCATTGGCCATGACTCTAGTAGACCCACCTTCTAGATCCAATGCTCCAGACTCTACAGAACCCATGGAAATTGACTCTGTTCAAGCTCCAGAACCTGATCATACTTCTTCATCTGAGATAAAGAAAGAACATCCAGATTTTGAAGATAAGATTGCTGCTCTGGAAGCTGGTCAATCAGAGATCAAGTCCTGGATGGCAAAACAGGATAAGAAGTCTGAGGACATGACATAATGGATGTCAAAGCAGGATCAAAAGAATGAAACAATGGCTAAGTGGATGTCCAAGCAAGAGCAATCCTCCTCTGAGATTACAGATCTATTGAAGATGCTTTTGTCCAAACACTCTTAGATTTTCATTTTTTTTTCATTCTGATGTTTTTGCATCTGATGTTTGCTATGTATTTTTTTTGCTATATCTTCTGATGCATGTAACTCTTGATCTGATCTTATTGAATGAATCAAAGTTTTCTCCACTGAATTATCTTATTTACTGTTTCCTTTTATTTGTCTTTTTAAAGTTTTTACTTTTTACTTATGACAAAAAAGGGGGAGAAAATATAGATCTGAACTGTTTAATATAACTTCACCAGAATGAAACTTCAGACATATTTATACTATCTAACATTTAATCTGAGTATTTCAGAACATTTGATAAGTACACTCTGTAAAAGAAACTTTGAGTCTCTCAGATCATTTGACTATTATCAAACTCTGAATCTTAAATCTGCAAGACATTCTGACTTTCAAATGTTAAAAGAACAAACAAGATCTAACTCTGAAGATTACTCAAGACAAAAGGGAAGTTTCTATTCCTTTTTTGTATTTAACTCAGGGGGAGATTCATCATCTCAGGGGGAGTTATAATTTTAATATTTTCAATTAAACAAAATTTTTGATGTTTTTGTCATCATAAAAAAGAGGGAGATTGTTAGAACACAGATTGGTTCTTAATAATATCTCTATGTTTTGATGATAACTATTAGGAAATTTTATATTTAAGAATTATATACTCTAAAATTTGCTTGAGAGTTTTTACTGCAGATAGTAAAGAAATTAACACTCCAGAAGCAAATCAGAATTGAATACAAGAAATGAGCTAAACTCTGAAGCGCCAGATGCATTCATTAGAAGATTCTGATTGCTGCCAACAGAAGATTCTGAGCGTAGCCTCCAGAAGAATCTGAAGCAGAAGCTCCAGAAGCATCTGAAGCAAGTCAGAAGCATCTGAAGCAAAGAAGAATTTTGTATGAAGAGTTTTTCAAAGCATAGTTTCTACAAAAGATTATGAGAGTACTAAAGCTGCCAGTACTGAAGTTCTGTTTCAAATATGCTCTGATATTTAACACGCTGAAAGCACACCTGCTGCAGAAGACTCTGACCCATCAAGCTCTGATCATCATTAGAAGACTCTGACCCAATCAGACTCTGATGAATTTGCTGAAAACTGAAGAAGAAAATATTCAAAGATTATATCCGTTTGAGTAAATCAAACGTCTCTTTCCTTATTTATGCTAGACACAAGAACACATACAAAAAGGATTTTTCTGTGCTTTCTTCTTCTAGGAAATGTCACTTGATGTGAAGACAAAAAGGCTCAGACCTTTTGGACACTCTTCTCAACGTGCAGCTCACCTTGGATCAGCTGCCTATAAAAGCAAGACTCCACCAAATTCTTCAGTTAGACGTTTTGCTGAAAAAGAATTAAAACATTCAAGCTCTCATACTTTCATATTTTTTCTAAGAATTTATTTCATTGTACTTAAACTTAAGAGAAATATCACTGTTGTGATTAAAGCTTTTTAGAAGCATTCTTACTCTTGTATTAAATTTACATTGATTGTAAAGGATTTCCTTAAGAGGATTCAGTTGAAATCAGTAGCTCTTGAGAAGACTAAGAACAGTTGTTCTTAGGTGTTACTATTGTAATCTGTTTGATTAAATAGTGGATTAAGTCCTTGATTGAGAAAGACAAATCACTCTAGGAAGGGTGGACTGGAGTAGTTGAGTTCAACGAACCAGGATAAAAATAATTGTGTTTTTATTCTAAGTTTTAATCTTTCATACTTATTCAACCCCCCCTTCTAAGTATTATCTCACCTTCACTTATGACTTGTTCTTGAATACGACATTAAAGGAGTTGAAAGAGGGCGAAGAGAAATGGAAGCCGAATAAAAGGGCGAAGAGAAATGGAGGCTGAAGAAATGGAAAGCAAGAAGACAAAGACCATAATCTGAAGATGAAATGAGACTAAAGAGAAAGAGGGGTGTACGAATGTGATTTGATGAAATTAGATTAAAGATTCACAATCTATGCTGACCTGTTATCTGATGTGTCGTTTTCTAGCAGACATGGAAATTCAAACAGGTCCAAATGATTAAAAAAGAAAGCCACATCAACGTCCACGTAGAATGCCATTAAGTGAAATAGACAGTAGAGACTAAATCTAAGAACCAAAATCTTTAAGAAAATGATTTCTTAAACGAAAATGTTAGAAGAACTAAAATTAAAATTAAAATTATTTATAAAGAAACATATTTAACTCAAAAAATAATACAGATAATAATAGTGATACAGAAGAAGGAAAAAAAAAAAAAGAAGGAGAATTTTGGATTGTCTCCATTGAAATTTCACTACACAATAATGTGACCGGAGAGAATTTGATCCCACAAAAGAAATGAGCAGATTGGCGGGAAACAAATTATTTTAATATATATATATATATATCTCGACACAGAATTGTGAAATGTTAATTTTCTCTTCAATCTCGTATTTCAATTCCAAAAAGTTTCACCATGAATGCGAGCCAGTTCGACGGTAACGCTGCCTTCTCAGGCGGTGGTTTCATGCCTCAAACCACTCCGGTCGCCGACTCTCCCCTCACTCCTTCCAAGGTTCTTATGTTTCTCACTCTCCATTTTCCTCTTAATGATTTTAATCTCATCCACAATAAACCTAAAATTGCATAACCGATAGGGTTTAGGGTTTTGACTTGCTTTTCTTGTGAAATTGCTCGTGTTCTGAGAACTTACAATAAACCTAAAATAATTTTACTTTTACATTTTTCACTTCTTTTACAGAATCGTGATACTCAGACCTTGCTTCCTCTGACGATCAAGCAGATCAACGATGCTCTCCAATCATGTGATGATAGAACCAATCTGACTATTGATGGTGTTGACGTTGGCACAGTGCGTTCCTTGAACATTCTATTATGAATTCCTTATCATGAACTATGATTTGTGACTTTTCTTTTTCTCACCATTTTGTGTTTAGATTTCTCTTGTTGGTAGGATGTGCAACAAAACTGAACATGTTACTGATGTTAAATTTGTACTTGATGATGGTACTGGAATGATTGAGTGCACTAAATGGTGAATGCTGTTAAATTTGTGCAATTTGTCAATTCTTTGTTTGATTTTTTTTTCTTTTTACATTTTCCTTTCTGAGTTTTTGTTTATTTGCAGGCTTCAAGAACCTGCAGATTCAATTCAAGTGGAGAGTATCTTGTTAGTTTCTTTATTGTATTGCATTGCAATTAGTATTATACTAATTAGGTTTTATACCTTCCTCTATAAGTATAGAGAAGACTGACAAGAAATGTTACTTATTATAACTACTTTTGATTGTTTCTCTTCAGCTTCTTTTTATCACTAATTTTTACTATGTTAATTGATCAAGAAACAATTTTTTTTATTAGGTCAACTTTCTTTTGGTTATTATGATTTTATCTTTCTGTACACACAACTGGTCATTTTGCATTGACTTGGTCTGTAAAATTGTTTTTGCTCCTTCTGCAGTTTCTTCATTTATCATACAACTTATATTCATTTAAACTTATATTCATTTAATATGAACTGAAATTCTGTTTTCATTGGTAGGAATGGAATGTATGTGAGGGTTTATGGACATTTGAAAGGCTTTCAGGGTAAAAAAAACATAAATGTTTTCTCTTTTAGGTATGATGATACAAAGTTCACATTTCACTTTTTATTTAGCAGTCCAATATTTTATATTTCTTAGTTATCCATTTGTATATGTGAGTGATAGGGCAGACCTGTTATTTTGCTAACAGATTAAGATTTTACTTCCTTAATTTGTCATTTTCAGGCCCGTGACTGACTTCAATGAGATTGCCCACCATTTCATTCATTGCATATATGTTCATCTATATAATTCAAAGTTACGGGTATAATTTATACAATTGCCAAGTTTTATGTTTGATTTTGACATGATATGATGTATATATAAGATTATGGATTTTGACAAGTCTGTACCATATGCGTGACTGTATTCTAATGTATGGCGGCATTTCCAGGCTAGCATCCCCAATCAGCAACGTGCTCCTAATTCCACACAAATCACTCCCACGAAAGGTTATCAACCTCAAGCCATACCACCAAATCAAGTATGTGGACCATGGCTTTTAGTTTCTGCTTACTTTTAACGTATACTCACTGATTTATTACTTTTTCTCTGTAGTTCTCTGGTCAGCATAATAATGGTCAGAAGAGTGTTGAAGTATTGGTGTTAGATGTTTTGCATCTTCCTGCAAACAGGTATTTTTTAAATGTAGTTTTGTTTTGTTTAATCTGATCGCCTCCTATAACATTTAACTAACTCCGTCATTTCTTGGAGCCTCTGTTATTTCTTGAATTTTGGGGTTTAGGCTAGTTAGTTATGGGAGTTAAGTTAGTTAGGATTACCTTGGACTTGGGACCTAGACAATATGGTAGGCCACATTATATATAAATGGTAGAAACGAACGAGAAGGTACTTTCTAATTTAGCGGGACCTCTAGGAAATACGCTTACTAGCACTCCAAACTCTGCAATATTTCTACCTTTGAAATTAAGGTTATCACTATAACTATCCCCCGTATTTTATAGCAGCGATCAAGTTATTCCATTGTGGATTATTATACCTATCTTAACAAATTTAGATAGAAGGCAAACTTGAAAAACTGTATTTGTAATAACATAGGTTTGCTAATTTATACCCACTCAATTTCTAATGTGTATAAATTAACAAGTTATAACTTCAAATTAGTTAAATACGCCACACTAGGCTCTCTTTGCAATTATGGAGGGAGAGAGGAAGAAAAGGCTTTGGGGGAGGGGAGTAGAAGAGAAAATAGAGAATATTTTCACATTTTTTGGGAATGTGTTTTTGTTGAAAATGATAAATGAATGTTTATCATTTGAATTTGAAGAATTTATCTAAATTCTCCAAAATCTCTTTTCGAAGCAATTTATTGGTTCCCCTATTTGGGGAGATTTTGTAATACGGAGAAAAACCAATGCTCTATTCAAAATGGGCTATATTATTTTTTACATTTCCCTTTCCTCCCTCCTTTTGTCCAAAGCGCCCCTAATTAAGAACAACGGGATAATTAGTGGGTGCACGTTAGGAAATCAAACATGAACTTGATAATTTACATCACTTCTTTAAGTGGGTCTAAATTAACAGATTATAACAAAAAGTTCATGAAATATACCTTAAGGTGTGACTTGTTACTTTACACTTCCTTTTGGATTTCCTAACTTACCCCTTCTTTTTTAAGCCAGTCTAAATTAACCAGTTATTAGAAAAAGTTTGCGAATATATCATAAGGTAATAAAGTGCAACTTGCTAGTTTACACTCACTAAAAAGCAATTGAACGTAAATTAGCCAATCCCATATGTTGAAATAGTTAGTGATGGTGTAAAAGTGCTAATATCTTATACTAATCTAAGTTGATTGGGTATTCATATGCACATGTTTCTTAAATGGATATGTTTTTTCTTAATCTACAATATCTGAGTTTATGGGGCTACAGGACGTGTAGTAAAAGTGTCTCCATGTAATGGAATGGTCCATCTTAGCATCTATAGTGTGACTTCAAAAGGCACAAATTGTTGATAGAAATATCCTTAATCTTGTAATGTGAATGAGCAAAGATTTGGTGTAGTAGTTATTACATATACCTTTTCTGGCAATTTAACTTCATGGCATATTACATTGCTAACACATTTGTACAAATTCATCACACTAGATTACAAAGTTTTCAGTTTTCACTTGTGTGTTCTTAAGAGATGCACGTGTAGAATATTGCATTTAGTTTTATTTTTCAATTGCTTAACCATTCTATTATTTATCTGGGTATTTCTTTCTTAGAATTGAGACTACTTGGAAGATTTTGTTCAGTATTCACAATCTAAAATTTTGTTACTGATGTTTCAGGATAAAGGATGAGGGAACCAGTGTTGATGTTATTGCACAACGTGTTGGAATTCCCATGGATAAACTCATGTATCTGTTCTCTCTCAATAGTCTCACTTCCCAAGTCCAAGTTATGTTATATTGACTCCCTATCTGGTTTTGCAGGCTGGCTATTGATAATCTTATTGGAGAAGGTGCCATATATGAAACTATGCCTAATAAGTATAAGTCAGCTGTAGACGGTTGACATTTTGGTGGCGGAGGGACATCAATATTGCCAGAGTATGCTGACATATCAGTGATTCAACATATATATTGCCCGAGTAGACTTGCTAGATTTTGATCAACTCGTTGTTTTTTCTTGGTAACTAATGTATTTGACACTGAGCTAGTGATAAAGATAGCATGACATTGGATGAATCTCTATTATGTTAAGGGGTTTTAACATATTGTTGAAAATTTTTAAGAGCTTATTGTTTATGCAGAAACTATGTTTAGTCCAAAGTATCGGCATATTACAATGGGTTTGTTGATTTTAAAAGTTGAACACTGCCTACTGTTGACAACATTACATGCTATTGTTGACAACATTACCACACATGTCGCATACTGGGGAGTCAACTACATTATAAAATTTGGTCGGATGAACCGTCCTGCTCTGATATTATTATGTAACATCCTAAACTCTGATATTTATATAAAGCTTTACACAATAATATAAGGTGTTAACAACGACAAAACCTTTAACAAAATAAACATTTAACAAATACGTAGCAAATTTTCGATGTCATACAACACTTGTCATTGCACTCTCACTTTCATTTAAGATGTCATTGCGGTGGTATAAATTTGATTTCAAATAATAAAAACTTTGCAACTTTGACTTTTAGTATCAATCTTCAAATCACATAAATGGTTTTCAAAAATAGAGTTATCTTATTCTACTCTTTAACAACTTAACATAAACCAAATAAAACAATTTAAGCTACAACAAAACTAAATAAGCAAAAAAATATTCTCAACTCTGATGTTGCAGAATCAGTGCAAGATTTATAAACAACGATGAAACCATACGAAGTAATTCCAGGCTCTAACTTCCATTTACATCAGAAAGTTCTACTTTTGAATATTTGCAAGATGTCCATGGTGACAACATGAAAGTATACTTTTGAATATTTGCAAGATGTCCATGGTGACAACATGAAAGTAAAGGGGGTAAGAAACAAGAAACTAATATCAGTGTAAAGAATGCTAAGATAGAGAACACATCACAAAACACACATTCACTTACACAAATCAACAACCACATAATCTCACACCCTTCACAACATGTACACATTCAATGAACAACATCATGAACAATCAACTACATATGTAATCATGTGTGCAAATGTACTCCACAACTAACTTATTATGCATGTGGTATCATTCATAAACGCTCGGGTTCATCTCGTTCCCGATCCCCACCATAAAACCAGAGCACACCAAATTGTTACCATCACCATAAGTAATACTTCATTGGTTCCTATTTGAAACCGGCTACTCATTCCCGATTCGCACCATAGGATCAGAGCACATCAAAACTGAACCGAAGTTCGCACACCATGATGCATGACTCTCAATAACATGCGTTTTCACCTAAAGACTCACCAATCAAATCATCATGCAATGAATCATATCTTAATAACCGTTAACATATTATATCACTTATCCCATCATCATCTTCATAGCAATTTCATCATCAAATTTAAAAATAATTTTCATCACTTCATGAATAAAACTCAACATTCAAGCATTCATCCATGGTAGGAATTATAAATACATGATTATGATCATTCAACCATCAGTTCAATCATAACATCACATATATATTCAAGATCAACAACCAATTTTCAGAAATTTATCATAAACAATTCATAAGAAAAACTTAAGAACCCTAATGAGGTTAAGGACTCCTTATCTCTACCCCATCATGCAATACACCTAATTGATAGCCCTCCCCCTACCTTGGATTTCAAGCAAATGATGTGAATCAAGTAACTTCCATGGCCTCTCTATTCAAAACCCTAGCTTTTGCTCTTCTCCCTTCCAAAAGCTCTTTCTCTTCTTTTGCCTCTTTTTTCAAATTTCACGTCTCAAATTTCATGTACTAACAAATTCTCTAAAAAACCTAACTTCTCTCCTAATTTTTAAAATATATAGTAACCTCTTTACCTTTTCCTGATTATTATTATTGCCCAATTTAACTCTAGCTTTTCTCCTGTTACCACAACTCCCCTCAAATCCCACAATTGACTCAAACTTCTATTTTCTCCAATTTCTTATTTTATCAATGATAAAAATAATAATTAAAATTCTGATTATTATAATTATTTTCTAATTTACTCTACCTTCTTACCACACCCTACTATTTCTACCACACCCCACATAATCAAATAATTTATTTTAAATCACACGAACATTAAATAATTAAATAAACTAAATTCAAATAATTAAATTAAATAATTTAATCGAATTTGGGGTGTTACGTAAGTAATCTCATTGTAAACAGGGAGGTACTCTACATTTTTAACTATAAAATTTTCATTCAATTCTGTATATTCTTCCTCCCTTTTTCAAAACCCTAAATTTCTCTCTCTTCTCTTTTCTCTCTAAAATTATCTCATCACTTCAAATCTTTGTATGGCGAAATCGTCTTGCACCTAATGTGTGATTGAATCACTCGAGTGAAGAGTGAGGAACAAAAATCTTGAATCAATTGAGAAAGCGATTGAATCTTGTTCCATCAAGAACGATTTCAACATTTGTTATCTAGAGCACAATTGCGATTCTTGGAAAGCATAAAACAACAAATTCTCATTCAAATGAGAATTTTTCAACAGACATTCCTATCTTGATTGACAAAAATTATGACAATTAGTGTAAGCATATGAAGGATGTCTTCTGTCATCAAGACATTTGAGATCTTGTGAAGAGTGGATTAACACCAATTGGCGAGAACGCCACAGATGAACAAAATATCGCATGTAAAGATTTGAAGAAGAAAGATTATAAAGCTCTCATCGAAGAAAGCATGAGACATTATGGAGAAATCTTTTATAGGCGCCGAGGAGGTGAAAAAGGCGAGGTTACAAAATCATAAAAAGAACGTATGAGTTGCTTCAGATGGAAGAAAGTGAAAGCGTGTCTAATTTCTTCACTAGGGTAACTAGACTGGTGAATCAAATCAAGATGTTGTTGGAACAAAATTAGTTTGTACCATATCCCTTAGGTTTTGATGATAACAAAGAATTTAAAGAACAATTGGGTAGACTAACATTTGTTCAATTGTGCAAGACCATAAACCAATATTCAGGAATAATCTAAGTATTGGTTCTGATAATGACCATCTAAAGAGAAGCTAAAGGACCAGAATCTGAAGAATCTGAAGCTGGAAACAAAACTATGAAGAAGTCAATGTCTGAAGGTTAGAGTTTGAAGAAGTCAGCCTTTGGAGGAAGACTTTGAAGAAGTCTGCCTGTGCTGATCAGAACCTAAAGCTAGTCAAAGCACAAAGACCACGGTGACTCTGATAGGTCACTACCAGACTATGAACCTACTTTGTCTTCTTCTGATCACGTGAAGACCTAAGCTTTTTCTTCTTAGAGTCAGTTGAGATACAACTGGTAATTCCTTGAAAAGAAATTTCAAACAAGCTTTCAATGACATTAGCCATTTGAATAAACATCTCAACGTCTCTATTCAAGCTTCTCAAAGTCTCTTTTATGCTAGATCTTTAACGACTCGTTTCCTTCTCTATTTGAGGAGTTAAATAATTGAAGAAGAAATACACCGAACCATTGACATTCAAAGAGAAGGTACTATATCAAAACATAAACACAAGTTTAACTTAAGATTTCTTACCTTTGTATATTCTTGAAATCCCTAAGTTTTAAAGAGCTCTTCTTGAGTTGTATTTTGTCTACATCTCTTATTTGTGTGCTTGAGCATATAAGTCTATTACTTGTGTGCTTGAGCATTGAAAGTGTCTTGCTTGTGTGCTTGAGCATTGGAAGTGTCTTACTTGTGTGCTTGAGCATTGAAAGTGTCTTGCTTGTGTGCTTGAGCATAAAAGTCTCTTACTTTGTGTTTAAGCATTGGAAGTATCTTGCTTGCGTGCTTGAGCAAATTGTAATTTTGTGTTATTATAGTGAAAATCTCTTGTAAGTACAAAGGGACTGGATTACTCTTAAGTTGTGATAAGAACTGAGATAACTCTATGTGTCTCTCTTCTTTATTGCTTTACTTATCTGCTTCCTACCTCTTACTTGAGATTAAGATTATAAACTTTGTTGTTAGAATCAGACAAAAGATTTAAAAAGAAAGAAAAAGTCAACAAAATTCAACCCCCTTCATGTGTTTTTCTCACCTTTAGTTGGTATCAGAGCACGACCTGTGCTAGCCGTTTAATAGTGGTGCAGAAAAGAACATGAGAAAAACATATTGAAACATGTCTTGAGTTTCTGAATCTAATAGTGGTACTCCTCATCCACACGCTGCTATTAATGATGATTATAACACTTTAAAAAATAACAATTATATAGCTAGACCTCCAACTTTCAGTGGAGACTCTACTGAATTTGAATGGTGGAAGAGCAAGATGTATACTCATATCATAGGTCTTGATGATGATGAGTTGTGGGACATTCTGGAAGATGGGATTGATATTCCAATTAATGGAGTAGGAAGGGTGACTGACAGAAAAACTTTCACACCATGTTAATGCTCTACCTCATTATGAGTACATCAAGATTATTGATAAATCTAATGCTAAGACCATTTTTAAATCCCTATGTGCTACTTATGAAGGGAATCGATAAGTTAAGGAAGCTAAGGTCAACCTTCTAGTTCAAAAGTACAACTATTTATAATGAAGGAGGATTAAGAAATTAAAACCATGTTCTCAAGGTTTCATGTTCTTGTATCTAGACTTCAGGTTTTGAACAAGAGTTATACTACCTCTAATCATGTCAAGAAGATTCTTAGGAGTCTTTTTTCCAGATACAGACCTAAGGTGACAACTATCCATGAGGCCAAAAATTTAAACACATTAAGTCTTAAAATCCTTATCAGCAACCTCCAGAGCCAAGAGATGAAGCTCAATGGAGATGAATCTACTAGGACTTCAAAGCCTCTGACTTTGAAATGTGTTGCTAAAACTGCTAAGAATCATTAAGTCTGGGAGTCTGAAGAAGCTTCTCCTATAGA